GAGATGACATGAAAAGCGTTAAAAGAGTTACGGCCCGTCCACACTACAGCTTCAAAAAAAGCTTGCCGGCGGGCGTGTCTGAAGCTCGACCAACAACCAATCACATGAATCTCCCGCCCCTGACACACCAAGCAGCGGTTTGATTGGCTAGAGCTGAGACTGCCAAGGCACACANATTTTTATTCATTGTTCATCTAACAAAGGTAGGTCAAAAAGTGCATAAAAACACAACAAATTAGCATTCATTTAACAGAATCTGAAAAAAAGTGCACAGACTGTGCACTTTTTTTCAGATTCTGTTAAATGAATGCTAATTTGTTGTGTTTTTATGCACTTTTTGACCTACCTTTGTTAGATGAACAATGAATAAAAATGGCATGTTTTTCATCGCAGTAATATGTGTTGGTTTAAAATGTGTCACTACCCGCTTTTTACAGGCCGCTGAATGTCTGGCCCAGCTGCATTTTGTAGTTATAAAATTTAGCCCAACTGAATGTGTAATTGAATAGCCCTGCTGTATACCAAATCATGGGGTCTCTGGTGATTCCCACCTTTAATAAACAGATAAAAACCTTCTCATTAAGTTAACTGGGAGTTATTTTACCTCTCTGATGTGGCTGTAGAAACCTCTGGACAAAGGGATAGAAATTGAAGAGGAAGAGCTGGAAAACAACAAAACAAAATAGTATTATACTCACTATAAAATCTACTTCATACCGCATTTATATTCAATATAATGCAGCGTCAAAGGCATGATTCCCATGGTCCATTCAGAACTGTATGGAAGTCTGATCCAAATGTTGGCAGTGCCTATTAGGACTATTTCATATCTGGTGGAAATGTAATAAGACCTGCACAAAAGGACAAATCCGCTATGAAAACCAGTTAGGGGGACAGATGAGATCACTCACCTCGTGGATTCCCACCAGTCTGGATATGAACTCCATCATCATCATCTTCACCTCAAAGCGCTCTTTAGAGTCTTCCAACTGCTTCAAGAGTTTCTCTGAGAAATCTAAATGAAAGAGATATTTGATTTGACAGTTCTGTAAATACTGGGGGAAATGACCCTACACATACATTTTGTTCGGCAGTGGGTGAGGAAAGGAGGAGTGAACCTACCTTGAGGATCGTGAATCAGGTGAATAGCAGAGAAGTTGAACACTTCTACCCTTTTCTTTTTCTTGTGTTTCTGCCAAAAGAGTTCAAAACAATCAACTCAATTGTAAAATATAACGATACAAGTCATGATATTGTAGTATTAACAAGAGTAGTACCTTGAGGACTTTCATTGCCTTGTCCATCTTCTTCTTGCTTTTGGTGGTTTTCTTGCCAGTGGCGTATCTCACCTTCAGATCTCGGACTGTTGGCCCCTCCGCCTGAAAGATAAACATTTAAATATCTTACATACGCATTAACATCACAGCCTTCTAGACTGAGAAAAGTATCCTTTCTCTAACTACTTTATGTATATGCATTTATTGGTACTTGCCTCTGATTCTGAATCGCTGTCATTTTTCTCATCTTCATCTTTGCCCAGGAAGAACTTCAGACCAGCAACAACAATCTAAACAGGAAGAGAGGTAAGTATGTACAGGACTGCAACTAATGTTATATTAAAAGCAATTGGTTGAAGTGTGGGAAAACCTACCTTTGTAACCTTGCAGAAGCACGCTGTTACAATGACATTGACTGTTTTGGCATCGTTCCTGTGACCCAGACGAAAAGACAATTAGATTAAAGTGGAAAATAATAAGAATGACTTATGAAGTCTGGTGTAAAAAATAAAACCCACCATATGTTCCTTTTGTAAAGCTCCACCATTACATCTAAAGAGATCTTGGCTGCGAGGGGATTACTGTCTCTCAGCATGGTGTACATGAAGTTCTGTAATGTCTGCAACACACAACACAATTTCTCCGACAATGAGCTCTGCTGTAGTGGAACAATAGAACCAACAGTCAAACTTGACACATGTGGTTTGTTTACTTACTGTGTTAACTTTGTTATTTTTGTGCTTCGCATTGATGTTTTTGATATCTGCCACAATGTGTAAGTACAGTGTCTGTGGAGAAAGGGAAGCAAATGTTTACTTCTTAAAAGGGGAAGAGTGAAACATTGAAAGAGCAACCCCTAAACATATCAATATGTAAACACACAACATCAGGAAAGCATTTGAAATGGTCTTTTGATTCTCCCCTTGACTTAACTACCACTCTTGTAAATTCATACAAAATATAACATCCACTCACTACATGCTTAGAGTAATGTTCTGTGTGATCTCACCTTTCTGAGCAGTTTGTCGTGACATCGCAGCAGCTCAAAGAAGAGCTCCAGGAGGCCGCAGGGGTCGATCAGATCTTTATTCCTCAGAAGAATCAGCGACTTGCAGAATGTCTGATGAAGACAGGAAACAGACACAAACATTGAAATGCTAAGAGACACATACTTTTGATCACTATGATCAATTACTTAATATGGATAGTCACAGGTTATCTCACCATTCTGAGGTCTGGCTGCAGGACTGTGTGGTGACTCATTAATAACTCACGCAGCTCTTGTGGAAAGGTTGACAGTTGCTGCAGGTAGCAGTGAGCAACCTGAATGACAAAAAACAGCTGTAACCTAGCACCATCAATATCAAAAATAAATATTACTGAGCAGCGGTGCGAGAAGTACATTTACTCAAACTTGAGGTACGCTTTCTTAAGTATTTACATGATATACTTTACTGCATTACATCTCAGCAACAAATGTTGTGCTTTTTACTCCACAGGATTACATCTATGGGTTTAGTTAACATTTTACATCATTTTTGTATGCATGTCAGTTTATATTTTTACATTTTCTTGTAATAATTTACATCTTATGTTTGTTTGTATAGGTTTTTTAATAATAAAAGTGCGGAGAGCTGAGCGTAAGAATGTCATTTTACAGTGCAACTGCCTGTTTTACTGTACATATGACAATAACGTGAATCTTTAAAAAAAAAAAACACACAAGTATATCCAAGTAAAGGATCTAAAATACTTCCTCAATTGCTGATCAGATATATACAGAGTCAATAAAGGTACAGACAAGAGTAAAGGAATACTTATACCGTTATAATTAACATTTGTATATCAATTTCCCACTAACTGACAGTACAGTACCTGGGCCAGAAACATGGAGAGATCCGCCAGCTCCTTGTTCGGCTTGTCAGGCTGCAGTCTGAAGATCTGCAAATTGGACTGGTAGTGTCGGTACTGCTGCTGAAACTGTGCAGAAACCACCATCGATTAATTTCCTCTAATATGTTTAGTCTCAGACTAACACAACAAGTTGACTAGCTAGTTAGCAAGCTCGGCTAACAACACTTACCTCCTCCACGTAAGACTGCGGATCTCTTTTAATAAGATTCTGCAGTTGCGGCAGATTGTTTGGCAGCTTGTTGCCTGTTCTCCCCGACATGGTTGCAGATGAATTCGCGTGTTTTTTAACAAGAAAAATATGAAAAACGGCAACTTTTACAAGGCAAGCGTGGCAGATGTGTAGGCTGCCATTTAACTTGCGCTGGTGCGTCCAAACGTCATTTCCGGTTCTAAGACAGTCACTTCCGCTTTAATCACAGGAGGAGTTTCCTTCTTTGCTGCAGGTTTTTCTAAAACTTCACACACCTTTTGTTTCAACTTGAATGTTTTAATGTTTCTTTTATTTCATATTTATATCTTTGTTTCTTTACCAAGCCGCTTTTTAATTGAAAACTATTATTCAATGGCTTCAATCATGTGAACTAATGAGTAAACACATTGCAGAAATATATTTATAAACTAGACAAGTAGCACTCAAAATTTCTCATGTCTATATTTCAGAAATTCTGGCATTGTATTACTACTTCTTCTTTTTTAAAGTCTTTTTTTTCAATAGCTTTGGCATTTTGTGACCCGATAAGTTATAACTCCAAATCAATGCGGCATTGCATTGATATTTTTAAGGCAGGTATAAAATGGGAAGCCTACTTTTAAATGCATGAATGATTTTAAGTTTATGGAAAAATTATGCTAATAGGCAATATGCACCAATATGACAGGACAATAAAAACCTTTGTTTCCTAATGATAAATTAAAGAAAAACCTCCACACAACATTTAAAATGTATCCAGTTTAATTTTCATGAGATGAATATGTACACTTTTTATTTCATCATTTACCTCAAGCATTGAGCAATTACTGTATAATAGATTTACAAAGCAAATACTGACATAGTATTCTGTCAAGGCATGTTCCAGCATTAAAATAGGATTCAAAATACACAAAGTACAATTTTGTTCCACATAAAATATGAAATCATTGATCACGATCACTTTCATAATTATTTTAGAATATCCATGAATCTGGGAAAAACATTTGTGTTTTCTTGTAGGTGACAAGAAATACAATCAGCAGTTCTCATACATGCATTGAAAAGGAGTAGCAGCCAAAGAGAGAGAGAACTCAAAAAGCAAACGTAAAAATATAGACTTCTTTAAAAAGGATTTACTCTGAAAGATCTGAATATTTTAAGGCATTTTAAAAACATGTAGTGTACATTTGGCAATTTCTGCCTGTGTGAACTCTCCTCCATTTTAGTTTTGCTCTTGTGAAACAGTCGAACAGCCTCCACATGACGGCTCCTATCCAGAGATGTTTTCTTCTGCTTGAAGGCATCTCAGGACATAGAGGATCACTTGATAGCAGAAAATATATTGGTCCTGTAAAATAAAAAAGGTGTGAGAAAATGTGTACCAAAGAGGTGGTTTGATACAAATAGAGTACATCAAAAACAGCAGTGCCTAATCGAATAACCATAAAAGCAGGATACATTTAGTAAATCATTTACAAAATGAAAAGTAATATTTGAATCAAATAGTTTAGAGTTAAGGTACACTAACTAAGATACTAAAACCAAAAAGTAAAACTCACCTCTGTCTGCACCATTCCCTGTCTCTGAAGTCTCATGTTTCTTACAATATCTGAAATATCAAACTGTAGAAAGTGTTTATTAGATCGTGATCATACTAAACAAAGACTACAAATAAGAGCAGAAGCTTTTTTATAAAGAATACATAAGCTGCACAAAGTAAAGATTGTCTACTTACATCAGCGTCTTTGCTGATGAGACCCAGAACCACGTCTAGACAGATGAGGGTTCCTGAGCGGCCGATGCCTGCGCTGCAGTGTGTGATGATTGGCCCCGATCGATGGACGTGCCTCATGTAGGAGATAAATGTGAGCAGCTGCTCGGGTTGTGAGGGCGTGCCGTGGTCCGGCCATCCCGTGTAGTTCAGATGAGTTACACGCTGTATTTCATTAGTCTGAGGAGGGAGAAACTCTTAAGTTAATGCGTCTATTCAAGCTGGGGTAGGCAGGTTATTTTGGCTGTGATGGAGCAACAACTCCATAATGATCATTGAACATTTAAAATATTGTAATTCAAGTGATACTCCAGGGTTGGGCAGTTTTCTTGAAAAGGGAAAAAAAACATTATGATGTTCAACTATAAGTAATTGGTTTCAAATATCATTCTGATCATGTCATACAGTAGCAATTCTATGGCAATTACCCCCCTCTACTCTTTGCAAACCTTTATTACAACATGCTGAAAGGTCATTTTAAAGGCCTTCAACCAATTTGAGGTTTAAATCTAAAATCTGGAGACAAACTAACCTGGACATCTTTGACCTCGATGACTCGGATGACAAAATTGTCGAGGTATTGGTCTTTGATCAGCGTGATCTGTAACCTGTCGTCTACCATCTCTGCTGTCCTCGGAGTGTCGGGCCAGTACCGCTGACATTTCACCTTCCCCCCCTCTACTTCCTGGGTCATCATGGCGATTACATTGGACTTCTGCTCCCAGACCATTTGCCAAAAGTCACCCAGGGTGGTGGGTAAAGGACCCTGACATGCGATGTACAAATAACTCTCTTCTTTCACTGACATCTTGATGAAGTTGGCATTGATGTAGCCGCCGTCTTTTTCCAGCACAACTCGAGTTGTGTCAACTAGAAGAGATGGGTGCACACAAATCTGATTTCAAATGATGTCAAAAACTTTGAAGGGATCTATTTAATCTATATATTGAGTATTTTCACCGCTTCACCTTGCCATCCGACACACCCCCTATTCAAAGTTTCCCTCTAAGGTAATATGAAAATAAAAAATCCATTGGGACTCACAGGGGACAATGTTCTTGTAGCGGTTCTTCTTCTTGTTCTCCTTTGTTTGACCTATCAGACAGTCGTCCAGAGGCTGGAGATTCTGAAGGTTCTGCCACGAAGAAAAGAAGACGTTTATTAAATCCAATTATTTGCAATTAATTTGACAGGCATTGACATGACTTACTTCAAACTCCTGCAGAGGGACCTTCTGCTCCAGGAGCCCCCTCATCATGCGGACCACAGTGTTGAGCTTTTTTCCTGTGTACTGGCCATCAGGGACCACTTTGACGAGGGGCAGAGAGGTCAGCTCATCCTCTGTGATGATTGGCTCGTCTTAGGGGGGGCAGAATGAAGGACGAAATTACAAATCCTATTGTGTCATTTTAATGTGTTTTGAAAAATAAATAAACATTTAAAATCCAAATTTGTCTTACCATCTTGGGATTTGTTCATGTTTTCAATAGGCAGTTCCTCACTGCCCCATGTGATCTCATCTTCCTCTGGCTGTCCAGCACTCATTTGCAGATAGCTTTTGATTTAAACAAATAAACAGGGAGATATTTATGAATAAAATGAAAGTCCCCATTGTGACTGATTTATATCCAAAAATCAAAATCTTACTTTTCATTCCTTGGATAATCAACACTCTCCTCTTGCCATCCCACTTTCCGGGAACTCTGTTATTGAACAATGAAAAAAAGATATAACTTTTGCATATTGTTTTCATTTGACAGCAGGTCTAATGGATTGGATTTGACCTCAGGCGAGTCTTCAGGTAAAGAAGAGCCATCGCAGTCTGTGTCCTCTGAAAGCTCAGCGCTGTGATCTGTTGGTCTTTTCTGTTCTAATGGCTCATCTTCATAGTCTGCGAAACATGGGAACACAGATATGTTAATGAAGTTTACAATTTTATCATTTGATTTACAAATGAATTAATCTTGCTGGTAAAATCATACAATATTCAGGATTATCCTATTCATATTTCAAGTACATTTTCCAGCCTGTGTGTCTTTACCTATTGGTGGTATAGAAGGGAAGCAGCAAGATTTCAGCTCATTATTGAGAGTAAACAGCTTCGTTTTTGCTCCACTGTCGTCACTCAGATCTGTAAACGACAAGAAGGAGAGTTAGGCGTGTTTAGAGAGAACAATCTAATTATCACAAACTCTAACGCTAGTCACAATCTGGTTTTCAATGAGCTCTTCTTAAATGGTTAAAACAGGAGAACTAACCTTTCTAAAATATACATGTTGTGTGTGTCTGCTTGTACCTGTGTTTCCATTGCACTTGTCAGAGTTGATGGGCAGGTAGGCCATGTAAGTGTTTGGGTTCTGGTCGGGCGGTCTTGACACTATGAGATGAACCAGGCCTTTAGCTTTACGGATAGTGGTGACAGCTTTGGTGTGAGACACGCCTGTCATTAGTTCTTCATTCACCTGCAAGGAAAACACAGAAATCACACGATTGAATACAGGAGGATCTCAAAAACAAAAGCAAACTGAACAATTGTAGAGCATTTCATAATGTGTTATTTATTTAGATGAAGTTAAATTAATATATTATGAATGAATAATTGCTCCTTTTTCTTCTAAATTCTATGTATTATTATTTATATTTTTTTCATCTACTTTACTTGTTCCTTTTATGTCTTGGAAATTGTGCTTGTTTTTATCTGGAAAGGAAATAGGACTATTCCATGTTTGTTACTAAAAACAACCCGTCACAATACAACTATTTAACGTATATTTGTTCAAAGTGTGGGCAGAGGCCAGCAGTTACAATGAATTTGTCCAAAATCTGAACAGTAAAATAATGGCAAAATTGTGTTAAACAAAAGTATATAAATATGATATTATCAGCCTAAATTCTGAGCTGCATTTGTGTGACACCACTCACTTTCAGCAGCCTGTCTCCCACTTGCAGTTTCCCCGAGGACTCTGCTATTCCTCCCGGTGTGATGGACTTGACAAATATCCCTCTTTCTCCTCCGATCACAGAGAAGCCCAGACCTCCTGACTGCAGCTTCTCCATATCCAGCCTGATGATTTCCTCCTGCAAATTCAACAAACAAACGTGCCATCACCTTTAATCCATGATTTCAAACTTTAGCATACTGCTAGGAAGTGAACAAGTCATTAAAGTAATGATTTCTTAACAGACAAAGCTTGATGGTAACAGTCAAGCATTTGATGACAGCCAACACAACATTATTGTGTACAACATTTCAACCTTCTTTGAACTGTTTGCTTGACATTCAATACAGAAATAACATAAATGCAACAGTTAAACAGCTTTTAATTGAAGCATAATTTAATATTTAGCCAAACTGACTCAACTTACCTCTAAAGGACAAAGTGTTGCAATACACTCTGTATCTCTGGGATCTT